TATCTGAGTATATACAGTAATTAGCAGTGTTTGGGTCGTCCCCCCGTCCCCCCTAAATCCCACAAGGTTGTTGACAAATATGCAATTCTATGTACGGTGGACCTGTAACAGCCTGAATAAAGAGAGCCCTCTCAGCAGCAGCCGTCCCAAAACCATTTCTGGTTTAACGGGAAGGAAATCCCTCAGCCTGGTCAATCCAGGTTGCCACACAAAAGCATAAATGGGGAGGCACATTTTCTACATACGTTTCATCGTCCAAGTCTTTCATGCCAAGGAGAACTGGTGAATCCATACAGCATCCTGTAAAAGAAAGACCCTGTGATAATGGCTGCAGATCAATACTGTGTTCCAATTCTGGGCACCACAATTTAGGAAGAAAATTGACAGAGTAAACAGCCCCTTAACATTTGTAACTCCAACCCCATGGGAGGCTGCAAACCTGAATCTGTAGACTCAGAAGAGGAGGTCCTTTGGAGGTTGACATTCTTTGCGTCCAACGTTTGCAAGCAGCTTTCAACTGAGCTGTAAAGATTCAGAATACTACTGTCATCTCACAGCATTCCGCAGCATGCAATTGAGATAAAGCAAGAAATTGCTAACTCGGAGGGAATTGTAAGGATTCAAAGGGTATGTTTTTATGCCCAGGAAGAATTGGCAGAAGTGTCAGCTCTGCAGGCATTTCCACATTCCTTGGAGTACCTTTTCGCCCTTGGCTACACGGCTTCTTTGGGAGAACAGAAAGGGTTTGTCTACACCAGCGTTTCTCAACCTGGGGGTTGGGACCCCTGGGGGGTCGCAAGGGGGTGTTGGAGGGGGTCGCCAAAGACCATCAGAAAACACAGGATTTTCTGTTAGCCATGGGAGTTCTGTGTGGGAAGTTTGGCCCAATTATATTGTTGGTGGGTTACAGACATCCAACCAACAAACATTAAGAACGGGGCTGATACAACAGGAAATGAGAGAACTCTCCACTTCAGAAGGAAGGGAAATCCACACCTAGAAGAGTTATTATGATGGGGATTGTCCCAAATCCTATTTTCAAAGGGACAGAAAGTGAAGTGAAACCTTCTGAAAAGGGGCATAAACAGCAAAGGAAACATCACAAGGGTGTAAGCGCTTTCTTATGCTCTCATATGGCTGGAACTACACTTTAAAAATTTATTCTGACTTACATCCAAATCCAGCTTAAGAACAAACCTACAGAACTTTTTCTAACTTAGGGACTGCCTGTATATGACTATATATGTGTGTGTATGTATACATATATACACACATAGAATATATATCATGCATACAAATGTCTACAGTGATCTCTGAATGTAGGTGAATGACAACTCCAAAACCAAAGGACACTGCCCACCAAACCCTTCCAGTATTTTCTGTTGGTCATGGGAGAACTGTGTGCCAAGTTTGGTTCAATTCCATCGTTGGTGGGAGTTCAGAATGCTCTTTGATTGTTGGTGAACTATAAATCCCAGCAACTACAACTCCCAAATGACAAAATCAATCCCCTTACCCCACCAGTATTCAAATGTGGGCATATTGGGTATTTGTGCCAAATTTGGTCCAGTGAATGAAAATACATCCTGCATATCAGATATTTACATTACAATTACAGTAGCAAAATTACAGTTATGAAATAGCAACGAAAATAATTTTATGGTTGGGGGTCACCACAACATGAGGAACTGTATTAAGGGGTTGCGGCATTAGGAAGGCTGAGAAACACTGGTCTACACCGTAGAGCAAATGCAGCTTGACACTGTTTCAGCTGCCATGACTCAAGGCTAGGGAACCAGTGGAGTTGTAGTTCTGCAAGGTCTTGGGCCTCCTCTGCAGAAAACAAACAAACTACAAATCCAAGTATCCTGTAACATTGAGTCACAGCAGTTAAACTACATTTTAACTCCACAACATTGAGGAAACCTTTGTTTTATGTCCAAGTCTATAAATAACTACTACCATTGTTCATATGATTGCCCACAGGCTTTGCGTATAAGATGCAACTGAAACATAACTGATTGTGTCGAAGGCTTTCATGGCCGGAATCACTGGGTTGTTGTAGGTTTTTTCGGGCTATATGGCCATGTTCTAGAGGCATTTTCTCCTGACGTTTTGCCTGCATCTATGGCAAGCATCCTCAGAGGTAGTGAGGTCTGTTGGAAAAGGATTTATATATCTGTGGTGCTCTGATGAACCAACCTGGACACAGCATTTTACTTGAGAACCCAGAAATGCTGGACCACTCTCACAACCACCTCGTCAGACTACAAAGAGAAGCCATTGAAATACACAAGCATGTGGACAATTTCAACAGAAAGGAGGAAACCACGAAAATGAACAAAATCTGGCTACCAGTATTAAAAAACTCTAAAATTACAACAGTACAACAACAGAGAGGAAACAAACAAGGACATCTAATCACCTCTCAACAAAAGTTTGCTCCAGGCACTGCCAGGTCATTATATGCTAATCAAGGTGGTCAGTTGAAACATTCACACCTAGCTCCAGCAGACAAGAGTCCTTTGTCCCACCCTGGTCATTCCACAGATATATAAACCCTTTTTCCTAGTTCCAACAGACCTCACTACCTCTGAGGATGCTTGCCATAGATGCAGGCAAAACGTCAGGAGAGAATGCCTCTAGACCATGGCCATATAGCCCGAAAAACAAAAACCCACACATAGGAAGTAGTTATGTTGTGGTTAAGCCAAAGGTTGTGGTTAAGCGCAGAGTCTGCAGGTACAAGAAGGTACTTTCCATCAAAAGGTCAAGGGAGAGGGGCTAGAAAGAGACCTCACTACCTCTGAGGATGCTTGCCATAGATGCAGGCGAAACGTCAGGAGAGAATGCCTCTAGACCATGGCCATATAGCCCGAAAAAACAAAAACCCACACATAGGAAGTAGTTATGTTGTGGTTAAGCCAAAGGTTGTGGTTAAGCGCAGAGTCTGCAGGTATAAGAAGGTACTTTCCATCAAAAGGTCAAGGGAGAGGGGCTAGAAAGAGACCTCACTACCTCTGAGGATGCTTGCCATAGATGCAGGCGAAACGTCTGGAGAGAATGCGTCTAGAACATGGCCATACACAAGAACTTGTGGAATCACCCACAAGTGATTCCAGCCATGAAAGCCTTCGACAATACATTAGTCTTAGGGCCCTTTCCTGAGGGGCCTGGGGCTGTTAGGAATTGTGGGAGTTGTAGTCCAAAATGCCTGGAGGTCTGCTCTAAGAGGAAAACCACCTCCAACCCCAACTACTTCTAAGCCCAGGCTTTTGGGCCCATTGCGGAAGTGGGAGAGAGGCCTGAGGCCTACCTTCCTGCGGGCGGGCCCTTCCTAGGGAGGTCGGGGGAGCTCCGGAGGCCGGGCTGGTCGCTCAGGAGGAGGCGCCGGCGGTGGGAAGCCCTGGCCGGAGGGAGCCCGGCGGAGGAGTCCATCGAGACGACGCCTCGGCCTTCAAAAGCGGAATGACCCTCGCCCGCCGCCGTCCGAGGACAAATACAAAGGCCCCTCGCGCCAAAAAGCGGGGCCAGCCAATAGGAGAAGAGGAGCCCAACGCTCGGCCCCGCCCCGGGATTGATAAACACCGGAGCCTGCCAATGGGATGAAAGACCGCCTTTCCGAGCGACCAATCGCAATCCCGATGCCGTTATTGACTCTGAGAGGGAAGACTCGCGCGCCAGATGTTAAGGGGCGGGGTTGGGTTCGGCCAATGGGAAGCGTTCCCTTCGGAACCGCCCAATCAGGGAAGGAGAGGTTGATGACGGCAAATAGGAGCGCGAGCCTTGATGTGTTTCAGGTGTTTTGAGAAGGTGGGAAGGGGAAGAGCCCCTCTGAAGCCGGAAATAAGCTCTATTTCCAATTGGAATTATACAGCATTCACTAGAAAAAAAAGCAATGAATAATAAATGTAATTGGAAACTATGCAATAAAGACCTATCAGGGGGGAATAATTCTGATTTTTGTGCTTATCCCATTTGCAATACTATTATTATTCTTAATAATAATAATAATACTAGCCGTCCCTTGCCAGTCTTATGCATGGGAGTCGTCTTAACTCTATATTTTAACTGGAAAAGTTGGGGGTCGTCTTATACGCCCAGTCGTCTTATATGCCGGAATATACGGTACTTACTTAGGCGATCCCTCGTTGGACGAGTAAGATGGTCTTCCATTATGGATTTCCTTGTGGGTCCGTATGTGGCTGTGGAGCCCTATTCTTGCTCTGCATCTTCTTCCGCAGTGAGGGCATTGGTTTCCAGGTGGAAGGCGGTCCCGGTCGGGGTTGGCTTGACGCGCCTTCCTCCTGGCACGCTTCTCTCTTTCACCCTCCACTCGTGCCTCCTCGAATTCTGCAGCACTGCTGGTCACAGCTGACCTCCAGCTGGAGCGCTTAAGGGCCAGGGCTTCCCAGTTGTCAGTGTCTATGCCGGAGTTTTTAAGGTTGGCTTTGAGTCCATCTTTAAATCTCTTTTCCTGCCCACCAACATTCCGTTTTCCGTTCTTGAGTTCGGAGTAGAGCAACTGCTTTGGGAGACGGTGGTTGGGCACCTGGACAACATGGCAGGTTCAGCGGAGTTGATGTTGGAGGACCATCGCTTCAATGCTGGTGGTCTTTGCTTCTTCCAGCACACTGATGTTTGTCCGCTTGTCTTCCCAGGAGATTTGCAGGATTTTCCGGAGGCAGCGCTGATGGAAGCGTTCCAGGAGTTGCATGTGACGTCTGTAGACAGTCCACGTCTCACAGGCATAGAGCAGGGTTGGGAGGACAATAGCTTTATAAACAAGCACCTTGGTCTCCCTACGGATGTCCCGGTCCTCAAACACTCTCTGCTTCATTCTGGAAAATGCTGCACTTGCAGAGCTCAGGCGGTGTTGTATTTCGGCGTCGATGTTGACTTTGGTGGAGAGGTGGCTGCCAAGGTAGCGGAAATGGTCAACATTTTCTAATGTTACACCATTAAGCTGTATCTCTGGCATTGGAGGGGATGGCTGGTGACTGCTGGAACAGCACTTTGGTTTTCTCAATGTTCAGTGACAGGCCGAGCTTCTCGTATGCTTCTGCGAAGGTGTTTAGAGTGGCTTGTAGATCTTCTGAATGCGCACAGACGACATTGTCATTCGTGTATATGTGTATATATGTGGCTTTGTGTATGCATTGCAATGGTTGTTTTTGTTTTGTTTTGTTTTGTTTGCTTTGTTTTCCCATGTTTTTCTGAGTGATGGTCTCTTGTTGGCCTGAGAGGTGTCTTGTGTCCAAATTTGGTGTCAATTCGCCCAGTGGCCTTTGAGTTATGTTAATCCCACAAACAAACATTTTTATTTGTATAGATTATTATTATTATTATTATTCCCTGTCGTCACCTACGGATGTGAGAGCTGGACCTTAGGGAAGGCTGAGCGAAAGAAGATCGATGCTTTTGAGCTGTGGTGTTGGAGGAAAGTGCTGAGAGTGCCTTGGACTGCGAGAAGATCCAACCACTCCATCCTCCAGGAAATAAAGCCCGACTGCTCACTGGAGGGAAGGAGACTAGAGGGAAAGTGGAAGTACTTTGGCCACATTTTTGGCTTTGGCTTTGGAGACAGCAAAGCCTAGAGAAGACAATGATGCTGGGGAAAGTGGAAGGTAAAAGGAAGAGGGGCCGACCAAGGGCAAGATGGATGGATGGCATCCTTGAAGTGATTGGACTGACCTTGAAGGAGATGGGTGTGGTGACGGCCGACAGGGAGCTCTGGCGTGGGCTGGTCCATGAGGTCACGAAGAGTCGGAGACGACTGAACGAATGAACAACAAATTATTATTATTATTATTATTATTAACTTTATTTGTACCCCACTAGCATCTTCCGAAGGACTCGATGCGGCTTACAAAGGCCAAGGCCTCAAAACACAATACAACACCTAAAGCAAATTAAAAACAGTTAAAGCAATATTAACAATAAACAATACATCAAGACACTATAAAAACTGGCCCAGGCCAGAGTAATGGGTACAAAATTAAAAGTACTGATGTGACAGGTGGTATGTGGGATTATAGGGCAAGTGCAGTGTGCAGCGATCTTAGTTCTAATAAAGTGCTTATGGGACTTGTTATTGAAGTTTTCCTATTCTGGAAAGGCACATCGGAACAGCCAGGTCTTCAAGTTATTTCTGAAGACTGCCAGTTTAGGGGCCTGTCTAAGATCTTTGGGGAGGGTGTTCCAGAGTCGGGGGGGGCCACCACAGAAAAGGCCCTGTC